CGTCAATGTCTGTGATGTTTACAACCATTTGCGTTTATCTTCGAGTTTATAAGTTGAATTAATGAAAAATAAAACACGAAGAAAAAAAAGGTGTGCGTTTTGATAATGCTTAGGTGCGCGTTTTTTCGCACTTCTCGTGATCAATCGAGGCGTGCGATGGCGCGCGAGCGCGATCGCGCACCTTAAAACACAAGGTCTGAGTTTCAGTTATAATATGGATAAATTTGCCCTAAAATGAATATCGTTCGGTTAAATAGCATTTAGGTATAAATATAATTGCACTTTTGTGATTAGCCCTCGGTCTGTATCGTGCAAAATAAATTGTAAAATACGCAACTTTTTCGGGGTGGCAGCACGGTCGCGGGTGTCATGGCGCCGTTCAAATTTCGTAGCGTTGATGTGTAATTAATTATAACAATTAAATTAGGTATCTGATAACAAATACGTGTGGGTATAGATGATTTGTTATACAGTAAGTACAGTTGTATGCAGTAAAATCCTAGAGGCTACTGTCCCTTTAAGATTTACAATGTCTAACATGACATGGCTACCAGGTGCTGACAACATAATAAAAAGCACATATAAAGCAGACTAGACAAAATTAACACACCCAATGACATCGGTGTGAGATCACTGTAGATAGCATAGTACTAAGGAGTGTGCATGTGGTGGAGGGGAACGAGATCAATACGAATAACGAGATCACGAGATAATACGAACGAGATCAAGAAAATCATACAAGGTCGTATCTAGCTTATAAGAACGAGGACATGACAATGAACATAAGCATATTAGCATAAACGGATGCAAAATGATGCATTCAAGTGGTATAAAATAAGCTAAAGAATGTATAAATGTGCGTTCCTCAAGTTGCCAAAAAATATAGGAGTTACAAGACGCAATGTAATATTGCTATTATATAAAGCCCCCACTTGGCGTGCTTATAGAAAATGCATAGTACTCAGGTCCCTGCTATTCCTGCCACTGACAGTCATTTGACTCTTAACAAACGAAGCGCCACCTACAATGACAAGCAGTACTTGTACGTAACATGTATATTTGCCTCGTATCGACCGATCATTCACGCGGTGTTAACACGTGAACTAATACATCCATTCATGTGTCTAATGTCACGACAGATGGTGTGATGGGTCATGCAGCGTTGTTGACCTTGGCTCGCTTCACGAGCGCGACCTCTGCACGCACACGGATCTCCTGTAGTGTGTACTCTTTCAGCAGCCGTCCGTTCTCAAAGACGGTCACCAGCACGTCCTGCGGAAACGCAACGCCGCCGATTTAGCACTACCTTAAAAAGTTTCGATCGCGTGTAGAACAGAACAGAAAAGTGGTGCCTCCCGAGTTGGTGCTTACAATCCGGCACGTTACTCCACCTACTGTGTAGATAGGTTCCTAGAGTGTTTCTATGCAGGAAACTGATGGCAAGGAACAAGTCTATCGACGTCGTCGGCTACAACAGGGAACGCTCTGATTGGTGGAAATTAAATCGAATCAGATCAAGGGTTAAAGTGCCAAGCAGTTTTCTCGGTGGTTGTGACCAAGGACATGTCTCCTTCAGGCGACCTCTAAAATGCTCATCAATCACGTCCGTGTCAACAGTTAGGTCTCACCTTGGAGGGGTCGCCCTTCCCTTCCTGTACGGTGACATACTCATCACCTCTCAGCTCCAGTGTTAGCTTTCCCTTCTTCGACATCTTCCCCTTATCGGTGACTGGGTCCTTGTACACGTTCACCTAGACGAATATCGACGAAAACTTATATCAGCTACGAGACAACCGCAAACGTTCGGAAATCTACAGCGTCGTTCTATTCGTCTGACAACCACAAACGTTCGGAAATCTACAGCGTCGTTCTATCCGTCTGCATCGACCAACAAGCCTCGTCGCATTCAACAACGCATGCGCACTCACCGAACTTCCGCCAACCATTGCATGGCTGATCTTGAAAGCACACTTCTGCGTGTCTCTATCGACCTTCTGCAAGAGGCCGGCACCTTCACCAAACACCAGGTTGTCTGTGCTCCACCCGTTCACCTTCAAGCCTTCTAGAACATCTCCTGCCAAGTGTTGGATGAACATCGAAGACCGTTAGGTGTGCCATGCGAGCACACATCCAGCAAGACCATGACTACGTTCCGATTTTATTAGATAGATCTAACTATATATATATATATATATATATATATAACTCCGTTTTTAGCTCATCTGACGTAGTCAGATGCAGCTTGTAGAATCCCATGATCGTCCGTGCGTCCGTCCGTCAACAGTTGGGCACAAATCTTAACCGCTCGACGTACGGTCACGATATTCGGGGGGGGTCGTGAAAAGGACTCAGGATGACAAATTTGGAGGGTCAAGGGTCAAAGGTCAAGATGTGTAAACGGCCTTAACTTAAGGTATAGGAGGAAATACGGAATTGCGGCACAAATCTTAACGGCTCGACCTATGCTCTTAATATTCGGTGTATAGTGTGATGGGCAGGAAACCCATCACCAGTGAGAAATTGGAGGTCACAGGTAAAGGGCAGTGGGGGAAAGATCAGATATCAGACATTTTCTGAGGACATGGCCTAATGGGCAGAGTGAAAAACATTTTTGTTTCAGCGCAGACCTAGCTACCATTTTTATCACTTTATTGAAAATACCATGAAATGTGCTTTCCAATGACGTGCGAAGAGTAAGTGTCTGATAACCTTTAGACCCTCAAGAGGAGGGTTAAACATGGATTCCTGAACTGCCTCAATGACGTCACAGTGTTGTCATATTCATAGCACATCCATAATCTAGAAACCCAATAAGCCTGGATAGCCGAACGCCTACAGTACAGGCGTCCCGGCTCAAAGGTCGTTGGATCGAATCCCATCTGATTTTTTATGATTTACCTGTTTTCTGTATTTTTCTATCTTTATCCATTTAACTATTTTTTTCCAATTAACGCAACTATTTACATGATTTATTTACAACAATTTAATAACAACAAATAATTTTTACAACAATTATTTATTTATTTTTTAATAGGGTTAGGGTTAGGGTCACAATGCACCATAAAACAGGAGTTTCAGGCACGCGATTTGTATCAACCAATGGGATTTGGGAGGTATGCAGAATGCAGAAGGTTGCTGAAATGATGTGTACGCAACTACGTATCTGCATATCTGCGCCTAACAAAGGTGTCACTACGCACGACTTAAATGTTACGTTTATAACCGTAGCAACAGACCTCAGATGAGCCCAGACGCTCTGCGGCTCTTGTTAGTTACTACTCTCCTTTAACTGCTTTAAGCTAACAAATCAGTTAACAACAAAAATTCTGTTATGCTGCGTTGACTCTTGCAGTGAGCACATGCAATGCAGTGTACTGCTCTGCTTAATTTTGTTCCATTATTGCCAGTCTGGCATCCATTTCTCCATCTTCACAATTCCAAGACTTTTTAGTTCCATAACCAGTTTGAACTCTCCCTACACGATTTCCCCTGACACAATAGACTCCGCACATCAACAATGGATAGGTGGGAAAGCCCAAAAGACAATTTCATTCTTACCTTTAATTATTTTGATTATTGACTTATTTTTTTCTCCAGAATTAATATTGTCACGAGCATGTAATACTTTAATAAGCCAGCGACTAAAAACGGAAATAAATAGGTTAGAGTCAAGCAAGATTATGATGGCCTAGCTTACCTATGGTCTCATGAGTGATTCCATCACCCTGCAAGACTCTGATGTATCTAGGCAACATTTTGTAGCCTTTGCTATTCTTTGTGGAACCAAACTTTGAGCCAAGAATCTCCAGAACCTAATAAAGAAACGAGATAATAACACTATTGGTGGTTTACACTAACTATACTACACTATTACACTACACAATAAATACTGTTAACTCATATAGCTAACAGGAGAAGACTTGCAACCAAAAGATTGACAGAAGCAACCAAGTAAGACAAACAGATTGCTAGCAAGCATGTATATATATATATATATATATATATATTTATACATATACATAGAAAGAGAGATAGAGCAATGCAGAGAGAAAGAGAGAGAGAGATGCATAGAGAGAGAGAGAGAGAGGCGAGACGAGTGCTAGGAGGAAGAGAGACGAGAAGAGAGATGGAAGAGAGAGAGAGAGAGGAGAGAGAGAGAGGCGAGAGAGGAGAGAGAGTAGGGAGAGAGAGAGATGCAGAGAGAGAGAGAGAGAGGGAGACTCAGAGAAACAGAGAGAAATGCAGAGATAGCGAGATGCAGAGAGAGAGAGAGAGAGAGAGAGAGAGAGAGAGAGAGAGAGAGAGAGAGAGAGAGAGAGAGAGAGAGAGAGAGAGAGAGAGCTCAACCGCGCGGTGACAGCGCGTCTACCTTCAGCACGACGGTGAGTGGATCGCCGGAGTCGGGTCGTATCACGAGCAAGCCGCTGCCGTCTCTCGCGACGACAGCCTCATGAAGCTGCTCGCCCCACAGATTCTCGCACGCGCGGTACACGTCGTAGCTGTCGCTGACGCACGCCACCAGACCCGATGGAAACCTCGCCAGCAAGTTGCGGTAGGCTCTCACCTCGCCGTCCCGCCCCCACGCCGTCACCGTGCTGTAAACAAGCGCGCGTGCGCGATCAGTCACTTGAACGGGGAACGCTTGTTTCATGGGGGTCGGTGATCACGATCAGACCCGATCACATGATCTGGCTGTTCGTCTGATTGGATGATCAATTGATCTGCATGATCAGACCCAATCACATGATCTGGCTGTTCGTTTGATTGGATGATCAATTGATCTGCATGATCAGGCCCGATCCAATGATCTGGCTGTTCGTCTGATTGGGTTATTGATTACGATCAGACCCGATCACATGATCTGGCTGTTCATTTGATTGGGTTATTGATCACAATCAGGCCCGATCCCATGATCTGGCTGTTCGTTTGGCTCCACCTGACCTCTTTCCTCTGACCTGGGTCATGACCGAGTTAATCCTGCTGCAATTGTTTCAGCAGACAAATGTAAAGTGAAATAAATACATAAAAAATAAATAAAAAAATCCAAGGCACAGATGATAGAATCCAGCAAACACACCCTAGGAAGTGCCGCAGTGGATCATTGGTTAAATCCTCCTCCTTCTCCTCCTCTTATGAACTTACCTTCCCCTGACAGAATGAATACCCTACAATATCCTGCATATCAGCTTGCTTGCATATACCTGACAATATCTATACAAGCCAGATGTGAGCGTGAATGTATGACCAGCTACCTGTTTTCAGGCATGTGTTTGCATGTAGGCATGTAACTTTGAATAGCACTCAGTATGTGGTAGGTACGCTTTGCCACGAAAAAACGCTAATAATCGGCAATGATCATGGTGAAAAGTTCTGCCCTGTGAAATGCAACCTTCCTTCTGCTCTCTCTCTCTCTCTTTCTCTCTCCTCCTCTCTTTCTCTTTCTTGCCTTATCTCTGAAATTTCAATAATATGCAATACTACCTTGTATATATAGTAGTGACACATTATTCCACTCTCTTCCCTACACTGCCATGACATGCCATTTATAGATGGATGGGGATAGCCCAGGAGGGGGTTGTACCATGTGCTGGAGTCAATGTCATGTGTAGGGATGATCAAGAGTAAACATAGCAATGTCGATTAGGCAATTAAGACATGTCAGAGGATTTGTGGAATGTGGCAAATTACCTTCAGCTTTGAAAACATGTCGAAACCCGATATGCATTAAAAGCCTGGATAGAACCCTGCATACACACACGAACCAGGGGCGGAATTTATTTTTTATTTTTTAAGGGCTACTTTTAATAGAGCCTTGGGGCTATTTTTGAATTTTTTGGGGCCATTTTTTTGTTTTAGGGGCTACTTTTTCGTTGCACGTTTAACTGAATGCATGTTAACATTTTATTACATTTTATTACATTAGACCATTAATGTTATATTGTTAGTGCTATATATTGTATAATAATTTTGTGTCATGATTTATTAATATGTTTGTAATATTTGTAATTTTGTATACTGTATGTAATTTTCACTGCGACCGCGAAAACTAGCTCAACATTCACAGTACCCCAGGTACAACGTGATAGTCGCATTACCGATCTTTGTTAGTCTTTTACATCAATCATAATTCGTAAACAACATACTGTACTGAGCGCCGTGCTGTGGAAAATAAACACCTTTTTACAAACCGTATCAGTCGAAGACTAGTCATACTGAAGCAAGCGATTAGAATCAGTTGATTATTACAGCGCTGATTCGTATAGCGCTGTAACATGCAAGCAAAAGCCGATACGATACCTGTATTCCCTTTCCCACTATGCATTGCGCGTTTATTTACGATAGCAAAAAAATCAAATTCAAACGATCTAAATTAATTCCTGTAAAACGGAAAGCTCGCCGAAAGTGAGGTGAACATGTTAATTCTGTATGCTGCTCCTAGAACAGAAATTTTCGTAGCAGAGATGAGGGCGACGCTGAAGAAAATGGTCGCCCCAAACAATTGGGTTTTGAGGATTTTAGGGGGGTATTTGGGCTCCGCCGAGGGCGAAATCGCCCGTCGCCCCCGGCTATTTCCGACGCTGACACGAACACATATACACACATGCATGCATGCACGCACATACGCGTACACACACATATATGTACAACTTTCCTCCCCTCCCTTCATCCCTTCTTCCCTCCCCCCTCCCTTCATCCCTTCTTCCCTCCCCCCTCCCTTCATCCCTTCTTCCCTCCCTCCCCTCTTTGCCTTTCCATTCCTCCCTATATATACTCTGCTATGCACTCACCTGTGTTCGGTGGCTGGGAGTGAGTGGCCTGCCATCTGACATCCATAGTACTTGCGGGCGCACACCAGTGCCGGCACCGTGTCCGACCCCATAAAGTTCACGAGGTGTCCGCAGCCACCGATGCCTGCAGCCTAGAAAGACAGGTACGTAACAAGAGAGGAGACAGTCAACCATCTTACAACACTCACTCAATCACTACGGTGGGGTAAAAACTATTAGACTTAATCACGGCAGTAGCTGTAATTACAAGCTATAAGCCCTCAACGTTCATGAGGTGTGCAGCTACTACTATTCTCATGGGTCAAAATCCTAAGGGGCCCGCAGGCCTCATGCCCGTATTTTAAGGCTCGAGCCTGACATTTCTAATACTAGCAAGCCCGATGGGCCCATAGAAAATCTAGGTGCACATTCTATTCCTGTAGTGCAGGCCAGCCAACAGTTAAAAAAGAGTACCGAGAGTGAGGACACCAGGGAGGACAGTGAGAATTCTGACAGCTCATTAGTATAGTCACTGAATATGTTCTTTGTATGACTGTAAATAAGCCATTGTAAAAAATCAAAATTTCAGTCTTTTATTTTTTTTTTATTCTGCGGTATCTGCGGAATGATGCAGGCCTGTAATTTGCCTGTCGGGCCTGTAAAATCCCTTACCTACAGGCCCGACGGGCCTGTAAATTTTCAAATTAATTTCTACCCCTGATTCTATTCTATAATACTCGTACAGCTACTAGTATCCTATTCTATAATACTCCTGGGGTATGGCTACTGCTATTCTATTCTATAATACTTCTGGGGTATGACTACTGCTATTGTATTCTATAATACTTCTGGGGTATGGCTACTGCTATTGTATTCTATAATACTTCTGGGGTATGGCTACTGCTATTGTATTCTATAATACTCGTGGGGTATGGCTACTGCTATTGTATTCTATAATACTCGTGGGATATGGCTACTGCTATTGTATTCTATAATACTCCTGGGGTATGGCTACTGCTATTGTATTCTATAATACTTCTGGGGTATGGCTACTGCTATTGTATTCTATAATACTCCTAGAGTATGGCTACTGCTATTGTATTCTATAATAATCGTGGGGTTATGGCCTAATGGCTATTGTAATTCTAGTAATACTCGTGGGTATGCTACTAGCTATTTGATTATTCTAGTAATACTTCTGGGGTATGGCTTACTGCTATTGTATCTATAGATACTTCGTGGATATGGCTATGCTATTGTATTCTATAATACTCGTGGGATAATGGCTACTGCTATTGTATTCATAAATACTCGTGGGATATGGCTACTAGCTTAATGTATTCTATAATACTCCGTGGATATGCTACTGCTATTCGTAAGTTCTATAATACTCGTGGATATGGCTACTGCTTCCTATTCTATAATACTTCTGGGTATGGCTACTGCATTGTATTCTATAAATCGTGGATATTGGCTTACTGCTATTTGTATTCTTATAATACTCGTGGGTATGCTCACTGCTATGTATCTAATAATACTCGTGGATATGCTATGTATTGTAATTTATACATACTGCGTGGATATGGCTACTGCTATTGTATTCTATACATACTCGTGGATATGGTACTGCTATTGTATTCTATAATGACTCGTGGGTAGGCTACTGCTATCTCTATTCCTATAAATACGCGCTAGGGTATCGCTACTGCTATTGTATTTCTATAATACCGTGGATATGGCTACTGCTATCCACTATTCTATAATACGGCCCTAGGTATCGCTACTGCTATTGTATTCTTATAATACTCGTGGGATATGGCTACTGCTATTGTATTTCTATAATACTCGTGGATATGCTACTGCTATTGTATTCTATAATACTCGTCGGGATATGGTACTGGCTAATTGGGTATTCTATACATACTCGTGGATAGTGGCTACGGCTATTCTATTCTATAATACTTCTGGGGTATGGCTACTGCTATTAGTATTCTAATCATACTTCGTGATATCTACTGCTATTGTATTTAATAATACTACTGGTCATGGCTAACTGGCTATTGTATTGCTAGTAATACTCTGGGTATGCTACTGCTATTGTATTTCTATAATACCCTTAGGTATGGCTACTGCTATTGTATTCTCTAAATACTCGTGGATAATGCTACTGCTATTGTATTCTATAATACTCGTGGGCATATGGCTAGCTGGCTATTGTATTTGCTATAATTACTCGTGGGGAATATGGCTCCTGCTATTTCTAATTCTATAATACTCCGTGGGATATGGCCTACTGCTATTGATTCTATAATACTCGCTGGGATCTGGCTACTGCTATTCCTATTCTATACATACTTCTGGGTATAGGCTACTGCTATTGTATTCTATAATACGCCCTAGGGTAATGGCTACTGCTATTGTAGTCTATATAGATCTTCTCGGGTATGGTACTGCTATTGTATTCTAATAATACTACGTGGTAGGCTACTGCTATGATTCTATAATACTCGTGGGTATGGCGCTACTGCTATTGTTATCTATAATAACTCGTGGTATGGCCCTGCTATCCTATTCTATAATACTCCCTGGGATATGCTACTGCTATTCATCTATGTAATACATCGTGGATATGGCTACTGTTTATTATCTGATTTGTATTCTATAAATACTCGTGGGATATTGCCATACTGCTATGTATTCTATACATAATATTCTCCTCCATATATGGGATACTGGGGAGATAGAACAGCATGGTTAAAGCATATTAGATATTTTGTCAGAGCAGAAAATGATGATACTTAAATAACTTTTTTTTGGTTCCAAAAAGGAGACGGAGATAAAATCAGCAACAAGAGTGGAGGAGCAGAAACACGATCGACTACATTTTGGTAAGGAAAATTAGAAAGATCTATGTTAACAGGACTCGTAATGTAATCTCGCCGGGAAAAACGCCATGTTTAACACAACATAGGCTTATGTGTAGTGATCTCAAGATAGCAGGATTCAAGAGAATTAAAAAGAAGAAAGGAGAAAAGAAGATAAAACAATGGAAACTAAAGGAGGAAACTCACAGGAGAGACTTTGAAGAGAATGTGAGAAGGAGAATGGAGAGTAGCAGAGGAGGATGGGAGAAACTTAGAGATAGTATCATAAAGGTTGCTGGTAGAGAAGTATGTGGGGAGACAACAGGGAACTATAGACATAGAAGAGAAACTTGGTGGTGGAATGAAACAGTGCAAAAAGCAATAAGAGAAAAGAAAGAAGCTTACAAGGTATGGCAAAGAAGTGGAGAAGAAGTTGACAGAGAAGTGTACAAGCAGAAGAAAAAGAACGCAAAAAGAGAGGTAGCAATTGCAAAAAGATCAGTTTGGGAAAAATGGACGGAAATTTCAGGAAAATCAAAACAGAAATCAGATCTATACAGAATAGCAAAGCAGATGAAAAGGGAGAGAAAGGATGTCACAGGAGGAAAATATATAAAAGATAGCAGAGGAGATATAAAAGTGGAAGAAAAGGAAATCATGGACAGATGGAGGGAGTACTTCAGTGAGCTACTAAATGAGCAGAACGAATATCAGGTGGAAGAAACAGAAATGGTTGAGGGACCGTTGGAGGACGTTACAGAGCATGAACTGGAAGTAGCTTTGAGAGAAATGAGTAGTGGGAAGGCGGCAGGGCCAACAGGGGTGACAAGTGACCTGGTAAAGGCGGCAGGTAGGGAAGGAATAAGAGAACTGGGAAGCATCGTGAAGGAACTGATAGGAGGAAACGGAATACCAGAAGATTGGAAAAAGAGTTCTACAATACCTATATATAAAGGCAAAGGAGATGCTATGGTATGCGGCAAACACAGAGGAGTGAGGTTATTAGAACATGCAATGAAAATATACGAAAGAGTTTTAGAGAAGAGACTTAGAAAGGAAGTAGACATCGGTAGTTTTTAGTTTCGGGTTTTGCCCAGGTAGGTCCACTACAGGGGCAATATTTGTTTTAAGACAACTGCAAGAGAAATATAACCAGAAGAAAAAGAAGCTGTACCACATTTTCGTGAATTTGGAGAAGGCATTTGATCGAGTACCAAGAGACGTTATAAGGTGGGCCTTAAGAAGGAAAAAAGTACCTGAAAGGATGATGACACCGATTATGTCACTGTATGTGGGAACCAGATCAAGGGTTAGAACGACAGCAGGGACGTCCAAGGAGTTTGACATTGGAGTAGGGGTACATCAAGGCTCGGTATTAAGTCCCTTACTGTTCATCATAGTAATGGATGAGGCAACTAGAAAAAACAGAAAAGGGGTTCCATGGGAGTTAGCGTATGCAGATGACCTGGTATTGACGGCAGAATCTGAACAGGAAGCACTGGACGCCTTTGAGAGTTGGAGAGAGGGGTTAGAAAGACGAGGAATGAAAGTAAACTTGGAGAAAACAAAGATGATGGTAACAGGAAAGGGCTCTGAGCACCATGTGCAGTCAGGAAGATGGCCATGTGGATGCTGTGGGAGAGGAGTGGGAGTACATTCAGTTTTACGCATAGAGTGTAACAAATGGTGTCACCAAAGATGCACAGGCCTAAAAAGTGTAAAGGGAATCCAGAACTTACGGTGCCCGGCTTGCAGAAGAGGGCATGTCAGGGAGGAAGGTGAAAGAGGACTGAGAACTACGGGAGGAAACATA